GCTAAGCGGAGCACCGGATGAAGGCGGGCCTCCAAGCCGCTCCCAGGACCTCACCATGCCTTGGACAGGAACCTGAACACAGCTGAGGAGCCTCAGGCTGCTTGGCCGACCCGAGGAGAGAAGCTCCGGATGAAGGCCTCCAAGTAAAAATTCTAAGCCACACAGTGCCTTCCACGCACCATTTAATGGACTTAAAACTGACTGGCCCATTTCAGTTGAAGGTATTGCCATAACCTCACAGGTCACAGTGTTTCTGGAGAGTCCTCTGCGTTTCTGCTTTTTTGTCTCCAGAATTCCTTTCATTTAGGCTACTTTTCCTACTTGCTTAAGCCCTGATTCCCACCCTCCACACCTAGTTTCCATTCAAGAGCCATTAATCACATATCTCAGCTGCTGGGCTGGATTGGGGAGTAGGTGATATGGTTAATAATGATTTACTGAACTAAAAGTTTTTTAGCTAAAATACTGAAACTCCCCAGAGAATTCCTGTTTGGGTAACTGGAATTTGGTTACTCTTTGATTTTGTTTTTTTTTTTTTACTGTAATGCTTTACTAGTGATTAATTATAGTTAATTATAAATTGCTAATCTAATAATCAGTCAAATTAAACACTTCCTGATGAAGATTAGTCATATTATCATGCTATCATTTCTTCTAGTCATCCTTTTGAACTTTATTTATCCCTTTCATTTATTTCTTCTTTAACTTGAAATTTATTTAAAAATATATCTTTAATTTTACAATCAATACTATTCATTTATTAGATTTTAAAAACAGCACAAATGGGAGGCAAAATGGCTTTTACTATAGATGCAATTATTGATTTGCACAGAACTATTTGAAAAACATTATTCATCCCATAATTGTACTAGCAAAATACAGAAAACAATACACATTATCTATTAACATGGCAGTATTAGCATAGGCAACTATACAAAGCCTAATATGGAATGATCTCCACAAATATTTTGAAAGTAACAAAAACTAGTGTAACCTGGTTATGTACCATACGACCAACTGTGTAATAAATTTAAAAAAAAGGAAAACTATGCATACTTACTCCCAGATGCAAAAAGATGCTTGTATTTACATAGACTATCTCAGGGTTACACAAGACGCCAACAATATGGGTTGCCCCTGGTATGGGCCACCTGGAGTAGGCAGTGGGGATGGAGAATGTTCTGGATTGTACATGCTTCATACTTTTGTTCCTCACTTCATAAGTCAATTACCTAACAAAATATTTCAAAGCAATTTTTATTCCCCCTTTCTGAGCTATTTGTTCATACGTTTTTCTTTGGAGTGATTGGTATTTTTTTTTCTTCTGAATTTATTCCTCCTGTTCAACTGAACATTCCTTTTGCCCTCCTGCCCCATATCTGACCCAGACCTTGGTAATCACCACTCTACTCTCTGCTTCTAGGGGATTTTGTTGTTATTGTTCTCACAGTTAAATGAAATCATGCAATATTTGTTTTCCCTGTGGCTGGCTTATTTCACTGAGTATAATGCCCTCCAAGTACATCCATGTTGTAGCAAATAGCAGAATGACAGAATGTGGGGCTTTTAAAAAATACTGACTAAAACATACCCTATAGATTAAGAAAATTATGCATTTTCCTGTAAGAAATGTTGTGGATATTTTACTTAGTTGTTGATCTTTTTATTTCATTTATATATTTGTCTGGATTTTTCACTTTATGGAGCATTTTGATTTTTATGGGGGTTAAAGTTATTAACACAGCAGATCCTCATGACTGAAAGGTTCCATATTTGCTGTTCTTCTTGCTAAAACTGATTTCTAGCTACAGATACAATACTCATGACACCTCTGTGAGCCATTCCTGACTTACACTCAGAGCAGCAAAGTTTCTGAGTTAACTGAGACCCACATGGCCAGCCTTCTTGCTTCAGCTCTCATACTGTGGTCAGGGAAGAAAATCAAGTGGAGCAGCATTGGTTTTCACTACTTAAAGCGCAACAGGGAGGCCTCATTAAACCAGATCTCCAGCAGTGCACAGCTGAACCTTTGCACTGAGCTCTGCCAACCCGGTAAGTGCTATCTTGGTAAACTGGGCCCAACTACAATTTTTTGGAATGAAATTCACCAGCCTTTGTAGCAGTTTATGAAATCACCTTCTTTTATCTCTCCCAACCACCCAGGGACTGTGCCTGATTCTTTTCTTATAAACTCTTGCTGCACCAGTAACAATTTCTGACAAACAAGTGGTGTAATTAACAATCCCCTTGCAGTTTAAACTATAAAAACAGCCACCAACTGGGCACAGTGGCCCACATCTATAATCCTAGCCAGGCAGGAGGCTGAAGCAAGTGTGAAGCCAGCCTTGGCAATTTAGCATACTATCTCAAAATGAAAAGGATTTGGGATGTAGCTCAGTGGTAGAGTCCTTGCCTAGCAATGCATGAGCCCTTGGGTTCAATCCCCAGTAGAGGAAAAAAAAAAAAAAAAGCTAAGATTTTATAAAACCTCAAGCATATTTTCTAGGCCACTTAAATTTGGTGTCTCCAGGATTGCAGTCCTAATATGCCTCAAATAAATATAATTCTTTGTTTTTGACTAGATTAATTTTATCTCAGCCCTTTTCACAATCCTTTTAGTACCCCATTTTTTGCATTTTTGTAGTTTTTCTGGTGATTTTAATTTTTAAAATGGTTTAAAATTCTAGTGTTCCTGAAGAGAGGAGGGCTCCAGATGTTCCCCATGGACTATTAAATAAGACAAGTTTTGTTCAAGCAAGTTAACAGAGTGTTGGCCATAAGTTCAATGTTAATATATCGATGAGATACAGTAAACATAGTGACTGGCAAGAAAACTGTCAAAACCCTCAACAGCAAAATCTCATTTAAGTAATCCTGCCCAGCATGTGCTAAGCTGTCATGCTAATATAATATAATATAAGATAATATTAAGACTAATTCAGCATGAGATAAAAGTAAATATTTTTCCTAAGGAGACAGGGCCTTTTGTGAGGCCAAACTAAATTTGCAACTTTGAGGAACAACTTTAGTTACAAGGCAGGTGTTCCTAGACGATTAATAAGCCTTATTACAGTTCTAAGATGTCTGTATTTCCTGACACCTGTTCCGCATCTTCAGTCCCTTAGAGAAACCTCAGCCTATCCCATTGACAGTCCAGTCCTGTGTTGGAACTTGCCCACTGTTCTCTCTCAGTGTATCAAACTCCTAACTTCATTGGCTGCAGCACCTGCCCTCCACAGGTCATCTCACAGGGCAGTAAATAAGATCTCTTTAAACAGAAATATAATGAAACCAGGTTATACATTAATAAGTGGACAAAAGGCTTACAAGAAACTTTTCTGGATTTCCCCTTTGTATATTCAGTATTCACTTCCGTGTTTATGTCAGTGTATGCTTATAGAACTTAAGTCTTAGCATAAAACGCCCCCCACCCCACTCCGGCAGCCTCACTTCTAGGTTTAAAGCCAGCTCCCCAGGCCTCAAAAGCTGCTAACTTGCCTCTGCTGACAATCTCTCCTCCCCTACCTCCCATGCTGTCGTACTTGTGGTGCTAATAAATCTTTCTCTTTGGTCATCTCCAGGTCTTAGTCAACCTAACAGTAAGTACTATTAGTAATGACAGTCAATTCTATTTTCTTTTGTGATCTTTTTTGTACGTGTGTAGCCATGTGTGTGTTATATACACAGAAGCCTTTTGCTTCAGAGAATATTTTTAAAATAATCTTGTCATCTAGTCCTTTAATATTTTCATTTTCTTACACTTAAATATTTGCTTCACGTGGAATTCACTTTGGAGTAAAATGTGAGAAAGTAGCTCTTTTATTGTATGTCATGTTGTCCCAAGACCATTTATTGAATAGTTTTTTTTTTTCTCCTCACTAATTTTAAGATCCTGGTATTTTGCATTGTCTAAAAGCAGACTTTTTTTTTACCCTTCTGAGGTGCTGGGGCTGGAACTCAGAGCCTAGTGCATGCAAAGGATGTACACTACCAGTGAACTACATTCCCCAAACCCCAAAACCAGATTTATTTTTCAAAAAATCAATATGACAGATTTTCCCCAAGACTCCCAATTTGAAAGTACCATGTACCCCTTCCAGTTTCTACAATGTTCACACCCTCTTTTAAAGCCAGAAGCTCTATACATCTGTCTGTTTCTCTTACCAGTAGTGAGTGATGTCAAACTAGGCCAAGAGGATCTAACTATAGACTTTATTCTCTTGGTCAGAGTCAGCATATAATTGCTTTCAGTTGGCATGCTCCAAGTGGGACTCCAGCTGCATTTTAAATCCTAGTCTTAGATCTATTGAGATGTGGTTTAAGACTTCTCAATTCAGAAAGACAGTGAGCTAAAGCTCTCAAGACAAATCAGTGATTAAAGATACACTCTAATAATAAAACTCCTGTGACATTAATAAGAGGGTATAAGAACTTTTCCACAATTCTAGCTCTTTTATAGAGGCATAAGAACCACCAAGGCCCCTGCAGATTGCCACTATCTGAATGTAGGTTTAAGGCTGTTTTCTGCTTGGTGACTTGACAATAAAAATTTCTGTGATAAAGTGAATAATCTAGGAGCTGGCATGCCATGGACACAATTTCAGGCTTCTTGTTAGAACAAAAATAAAAACTGAATCTGCAAAGGATAGGCACAGTGGAATGTATTTCATATTACACAGCACATGACTGGGTTACCAATGTCAGCAATGAGGCTGCCAGGCTTCTGGTCCTGGAGGAACTGGCGGACTCGAGGCCAGGCTTTGCTCTGCAGCTCACTGAAGTATGGGGCGGTGCTCTTGTACACATCATGCACGTGCTGCTTCTCCAGCCGGGCAGCTTCAGGATCCATCCTGGGAAAAGCAGGTCGACCCAAGGCAGAAGCGTCAGACTACGTACTAGAAATAGCTGAACAAGGATCACAGACTTTCTAACATCAACATTTACAACTGTAAACAACTGTCTTGTTTTTATACTTTCTTAATGCTGCAACAAAATGTACAGTTTTCATCTTACTGACTTTTAGAAAGTAGTAGTTTGGAAATGGGCTAATCACTGTTAATTTCCTGTGCAAGATGAATTCTGAACTTTAGAATCAGAGCAAATATTCTTACCAAATGGTTCACTTTGGGTGACATTATTCTATTGGATCTAAATAGATTTTAAAATTTTATAACAGATAGTTCATTACACCAATCAAGAAATCCTATGAGTTGGACCTTTTTAATATCTTTGGATTCCAACCATTTCTCTACATCCATTACTGCTTCTGTATTAAGAAAGGGGCTCATTTCTTATGTGAACTATTTTAAGAACCTGCAAACAACTTTTCTGGTTCTTCAATGATTTCCCCTTAAATATGTCATAAAAAATAATTTGAAATATAAATCTACTTGTGTTGAATCCTGTCTTCTTTTTCAAAGATATTTTACAGCTTGTCCAATCACATTTAGGTGGTCATACAAAGCCCTTTCTGATCTGGCCTCCACTTAGTTCTTAAGGTTCTTTTCTCACGATCTTTCTCTAGCACCAAATGAGCTTGTAATACTCAATGATCCAGGGTCTCTTGGATGTGACACACCCCAGTTATCCAAGGGCCTGAAGATATGGTGCTATATTTGTCTAATTTCTAGTTAATCTTGGTAGAGGTATCCTCCTCCAAGAAGGCTTTCCTGAACTTCCATGCAAGGTCAGGGCAATCAGAAAAGAATGAAAAAAGTACAAGAGTAGATCCTGGAGGTCCCTGTTATTTAGGGATTAATCCTTTATTCTTGTGACCATGTGAGTGAGGAAACTCCCAGGGAAGCAGCCAGAAGTTCAGAGTGTGGTTTTACCAATAAACATGAAAGTACTGTCAATAATTTAAAAACCTATTTGGCTCTCTCTACTGGTGCCTATTATGAAGTTAAGCACTTTCTCATGTGCTATTGCATCCCACACGTACCTCTATAGATCACAAAGTTCTGCAATATTTGTGTTTATATATTTGCTTCTGACACTACCTGGGAAGACCCAGGGAACTATCTTAGCTAATGCTGGATCTCTTGCACTTAGGAGACAGCAGATCCTCAACAAAGGAGCAGACAAATATCTATAACCAAAAGGGATTCTTGACCCTGAGTACAAAAAGTAACATAAAGTAATTGCTGTCCCTCTGGGGAGTGTGGGAAGGGAAAACACTCTTGCACATGCAGTGTATAAGAGGAACTATTGCCCCTGGACAGCCTCTTTCTTCCTATCACCATCTCCAACTGGAAATAGGAAGCACTTTGGTAAGATGGCATCTACCAAGTTACTTCATTGTAAAATACCCTTTCTTCCTCTTCTAGCCAAGAAATATTTTATGGAGAGATACTTTGAGGCTATATAAATATTATGTTTCTCATGCATGTCCACCAGTTTTAGCATCCACTGTTGATTCTTGTACCAAATAATTATTCCTATAATTCTTACCAAATGAAGATATCCTAATTTCAACATTCCTGCCAATACAAAAAAATAAGAGCTTTTCAGGATTTATTTTTATTTTTAAAATTTTTAAAAATTATTTATTTATTTATTTATTGGTACATTTTAGGTATATAATACATTTACATTTATCATTGGGTGTTTGTACCTGAACATGATGTATCTTAGTTCTTATTTTTTCCCCCATTATCTATGCGCCCTTCACCTCCACCACCCTTCCCTATTTACATAGACTTTGTTTCCATTCAGGATTTACTTTTAAAAAGCAATAGTAGGCTGTTCTTAATCTCTATGGATCTGTATGTCCACATCTCTTGCAAAACATCCTAGACCAAACTGCTACCAGAGTGCAATCTAATGTGTGAGGTCAAACAAAACTTCAATCCAGATTTTATGACACCTTCAGATGGAATTTACCAAGGAAACATATGCAAACATATAACTTTAACTGTCTACAAAGGAGAAACACCCAAACATTTAAATCACTGCTTTTTAAAAATCAAAATCTCAGTATATACAAGGCTATTTAACTTCCCCTCTGCCCAAAGAATCAATCAGGCAATATAATTTGAAGAATCCTGGAAGAAATACATTTTATTCTATTCTATTTGCAAATGGTAAGAGGCAACTGACAGAAACTTGATTTCTCCAAATTTGTATTTTTAAAATGGCTTCAATTTAAGCTTAGAATTTATAGTATCTGCATAGCACTGCTTGGACTCCTTTCTCGAAATTTTTTCTGGAATTTCCTAGACTTTACTATAAACAAGTACTCTCAGAGATAGCTATTTTTCAGACAAGTGATCAATGTGAATCTATTTTGTTTTTATTGTATTTTACAGTTAATTTAGCTGCTGCAAAATAAACTGCTGATCATGATTATTGACTCATAGAGTTGGAAGTATCCAATATAAGAGTTTTGAAACTCTATGGATTCAAATTTTCTACAATACTTTCCATCTGAATTTTAGATACACTGTTTATGATGGTTGATTGATTTTATCAATTTGAGAAGTTCAGTTAAGAGAGGCTTAACTAAATGGGCTCCAAAATTCCACACCCTAGGGTTTGGAGGATCCACCCTAGGGCAGCTAGTGGCTTGGATGGTGTAAAGGGGAAATGAGGAAGGACAGAGGAGCTCCAGTCTTTGTCTTCACCTTGGCTTCCAGCACAGACTCTTTGGCTTCCAGCACGGATCCTTCAGCCTTCCAGCATAGACTCTTCAGCCTTCCATTGAAGACCCATTGGCCTCCTGATACAGACTTCGCAAGGGACACAACAGTGAGCTCCAGACCTGCCACTAAACCGTTTGGTCTCCAGTGTGCAGACTGCACCCTTCCTCATCTGAATCTGTGGGCGGCCATTGTAAGCCAATCTTGTAAATTCATATATATTTGTATAGCTTGTGTTATATCTGTTTCTCTAGTAAATACTGGCTGATGATACACTCTATAAGCTAATTCCTTGTGGATTTGGTAGCATTTGTATGATAATAAACTAGCAGTAAAATAAAAACACAGGATTCCAAGTAAAATAAATTAGGGAAATTAGTCTGTCTGGGCTTTTTAACCTGTGCTATCAAATTCCAGACATATAAAATACTCCAGATAGAAAGGGTCAGCAGTCAAAGCCATATGTAACGCCCTTCCTTTGATTCCAAAATGCATACCAGCATACTACAGGGTTTCAGAAATCCTGCAGAAAAGAGTCACAATTTTTTTTTTTTTTTTTTTTTTTTTGGTACCGGGGATCAAACTCTCGGGACCTTGTGCTTGTGAGGCAGGCACTGGAACCACTGAGCTAAATCCCCGGCCCCACAATTGGTTTTTAAATCTAGTTTTTTCTCAAAATCATTGAGCCTGTAACACTTTTTTTCTTTATTTAAACACATCTTGTCTAATCTGAGAATACATTCTGCCGGAGACATTTTGAGAGATGTAACTTTAACGATTTCCAATTTGAGAGTCTTCCCAAAACAAAAGCAATATTTTCCCTGAGTATCCTCAACATTCATGTGATTTTTAATGGAAATGATGAGACTATATATTTTAAACAGAAAGTCAGAGGGAAAACACAACAGAATGGCTCATCACTGCCAACTTGAAAGAAGCTGCTTCTGCGCCATCGGCTGGATGCCAGCTGCACTGGCTGGGCCCATGTTGAAAGAATCTAAACTAAGAGCTGAATAGTTAGATGACCACAGGTGACTGGGTGCAGTCACTTGGTGTCTGCTTTAAGCCATATATATATATATGGATGAATCAAGAAAAAACTGGTCTGCAAAATAAACGTGAGAAAACCAAGCTAAGAGATGGTAGCATTTCCTAAGCACTGTGGAGGACAGAGAGGCAGAGAGGGGAAAGACTGGGAGATGGTTTTCTAGTTTAGTTCCCCTATGAGGTCTAGGCAGCACCCCAGGGTCATCAACTCCACAAAATCGTCATTTTTACAGCACTGGCTTGGGCCTAGTGCACTTCCTGCCTTTGAATCTCTATCATATTCCATTTTAGTTCTAAAATACTCTTCACTTGACTTTGTTTCTGTATCGTACAACCCTAGCTTTCCTAAGACAGGAAAAACATTTTTTGAATTAAGAATAGCTTGAACTCACTATTTTACACTTCAAATAACTATAATGTTTCAGGAGTGTTGCCCATTTATTTTTTGTTACTATTCAACCAGTCTATAAAATTTACAGTGTAACTGTGGAATGAACAAACAACAAAATCGAATGCTGAATGTCAAAAACAGTAATAAACATGAAGACAAAAAGAACAGAAATGGCTACAGAAAGGACAGACTTACTTTTCCAAAGGAGCTGAAATAAAGCACAGGAGCCTGTGGGACATTAACTTATCTCTCCTGTTCTTTCCCCTGTCCCACAAGCTCTGCTTGCCCTCTTCGGCGTGGTTATTGACACCCTCTCTGTATGTCTCCAATATTCATATGCAGAATCACACTATTTGATAGTTTCTCCACTTCCTGGACTTTTTGCAGGACCTGTCATTTGCACACCTGCCTATTCTAACTCCGAAAAAGCCTCGTCTGTGCTTCTTTTCCTGTTCACTTCTATTTCCAGCATCCTGCTCACTCTTCAGAGCTCAAGCTCTTTTCCTGTTTTTTTCAACGCTTGAATAATTTTCAAAATTCTTTTTATAACTATAAGAGTAAAACAGCAAGACTGAATGTACTGAATTCTGATCAGTGCTTGTCAGGGATTGAAGCAGAGAGATATCTGACTGCAAAGGGGAAATGAGAAGGCTTTTCAGGATGATAAAAATACTCCACGCCTTGATTGTGGTGGTGGTTTTACAACTTTGTTTTTTAGTGCTGGGAACTGAACCAAAGCCTTGTGCATACTAGGCATGTGCTCTACCACTAAGTAATATCCCTAGCCCTGGTTTTTAGCCTAAAAAGGATGAATATTTACTGGAAATCCGTTCTATTTCTGCTAAGAACCATCAAACACCTGAGATTTTATCCTGCTTGCAGGCTAACAAATAAGCTTTCCATAGTTTCGTGGATGCTAGAAGAAGCCACAAGACTCCAAGGTCAAGGCCAGGTGGTTTTAATACTTAGCACAGCAAGCAGCACAAGCTGCAGGTTTGCATTGGTTCCCACTGGCCTCACATCTCATGGAGATGATGCAGAGGTAGACTGTGGCAGAAAATCTGCACACAGGGGGTTTGTACTACAGGCGAAGAATCCTAAAGTTAAGGGATCCCCCTATCTTATAAGGGAAGCTCTACCCAACCTATCCTTGCCCTAGGGAGAGATGTATTATTATCTTAGACTGAAAAAAAAAACTTAATACCTGAAGGAGACACTTTTTCTATTATCTATCTTTCAAGGTTGTTTGTTAGGCAAGCATCCTTGAAAAGATAATCCAGAAAAAAAGCTGATACATACATGTACACATGCAGAAGCCAGAGCAAACCATGGAGAATTGTCTCCCAACAATAAAAATGAATCTTGTCTGTGTGTGTGTGCGTGTGCACACGTGTGTTCATGTGGGGGGGGGGAGAGAGGCTGAAAGATAACAAAGTCAGACATGTGAAGAGGGTGAATAGCTGGTTTAAATGTCTTACAGCTAACATTTCTTGGGAAATGAAGGCTCATGTGGCTAATTGCCTTGTAGAGTCATGAGAAAAGGAAAAATACTAAAAGGTATCCCTAAAAGGTAGGGAAAAGTCATACGAAGTAATGCACAGAAAAATTAGAACTAATTTGGATTTTACCATAAATACAATGGCAGGTGGTTTTAAAATGGTGTAAGTGGGAAGGGCACATGATTAGATTTCCATTTAAAAGCACACTCTAGGAACATCTACCCCTAAGTAAACTACAGTGTCTTTATTGGTCCAATCTAGTTCACCACCCTCCTTCTTCTGATCATTTGTATCTTACCCTCTGGATGGTGAGTGACCCCAGCATGGCCATTTACTGTATTCTATGTCCCTGCACATAGTCATTGCTCAGAAGTGACCTAGGGATGAAAGCTGAGTCCAGCAGAGACTTCCTGAGGTGTCTCTGTGGAGCTAACCAAGAGAGGGGCCTGCATCCAGCATCATAGAGTTGGAAAGAGGTCAAAGTCAAGCTGCTGCCAATGTCTTTCTTACCATATGGCAAAGAGCTCTCCTAGGTAGAGAGAACGAGGTCACACAGAGCAAGTGGAGAGATCAATGGGGAGGGAAGAGTTATGTCAGCACAGTCAGTCTTCACTTCAGTCTCTGAGATTTTGGTTTTTGCAGTCCCAGAGGCTAAGCTTTACCTTTCCCAACTCAGAGAGTCAGTAATTTCCTCTAAATTTGTACTTGTTGGATTTCTCACCTTATCTCTATAGGAGTCCACCCTAATTCAAAAGCCTTCTTTCTACTTTTGTTTTGGGCTGTTTATTTCTCCTTTTTAATTTCCAGCTTTTATTCCTCAGAGAGTGGAAAAGAGAAGAGAAAGTAATAGGAAGCTAAGAGAAGTAGGAAGTGACTTGGTATGTTCCCTGAGGAACGAACAGAATAGAGGATATGAGCAATTTCTGCTTCTAGAATCAGGGCTTCCATTGAGAAGTCACAAGTTTGGATTTTCTTTTCTGAGGGTAGGATTAGGATAACACTTCACTCACTTTAATTTCAGCAAAGCCATGTGACTTGCTTTGGGTATTAAATGTGATCAGGAAAGATGAAGATTACTTCTGAGCAGAAGCTTTATGAACCAGTGTGTGTCTTGCCAAATTCCTCTTCTCTGGTCTCTACAAGGAAATTTTCCCTGTTATGAAAGCTGAGATATGTTAAGTTCCTCTGTCCTTCAAAAATGGAATAAACAACTTAGTTGAGTATAAGAAATGGTGAATATCTAGATAATGAAAAATAAAGACAATCATGTTCCATTACAAGATAACTTGTCTTTCCTGTATTTTTCTCAATAAAGTGTTGATTTTTCTTTTTTACAAAAGTGTTCTAACAAAACTGTGAGAAAACTGAATGCATATTTTATCCCACTTCTTAAACTTTATATTGTGAGCCCATAGCAACTTTTCCCTGGGGCCTTCTCCAACTTTCTCAAATAAATATAACGCCCTTCTACCTAAGCTCCACAGGACTTGAAATGTATCACAGTTCTATAAAGTTTTTTAGTGTTCTCTAGAAGTGTTAAGTACTTCTACTAGACTCTGAATTTCTAAAGAAACAACAGTTTATATACATTTGTGTTAAGCCCTCAGTATCTAATTATCTATCTATCTATCTATCTATCTACCTATCATCTATCTATCTAATATAACTTTGTGAAGGGATGAGAGGACAAACGGATCCCTGGACTAGGGTAGTATATTATAGTGATGTCACTAAGAGATATGTGTGTGTGTGTGTGTGTGTGTGTGTGTGTGTGTGTAGGGCCTGATGTAGAAACCAGTGGAAGATAAGGGTCACTTGTTGGTTTATTCAGGTTCATTGCAGGCCCAGTCATGAATCTCCAACAGTCAAGGCTTTCTTCCTGTCTTGGTATGTGAAGGCCATCCCTTGCAAAAGAATCTATGGTTTGTTGCATGTAAGAAAGGCAATGCAAGCCAAATGGCCTTTCTGCAGTTACAGTTTAAGTGATTTCAGCTTAAAATAGTCAGTATGTCAATTTGGCATGCTTTAGAGTATATCCTTAACTCGTTTGGTCTAAACATGTTTAATGAATAACTGAATAATGAAACTCTGGCAAAATGAGCTATACAGTATCTCTTTTATATTTTTAAATTTTATTTTTAAGAGTTGTTTGTGTATAATTGATATGTAACATATTTAAAGTGTACCATTTGATAAGTTTTGAAACATATATACATTTGAGAAAACACTAGGCCAATTAAGATAATGAACACATCCACAACTCCCACAGTTTCCCCATACCCCTCTGTAAGCTATAGCTCCCTCTCATCCTTCCCCACCCTGAATATCTCTTACTGCCATGTTCTGTAGATGGGTGCATTGAGCCATAAATCCAACAACCATGATTTCAAAAGCAATTTTGAATATGTAATGTGTCCACAAATACAAAAAAATGAAAAAATTCTTTTCTAAGTCTATAATTTCCCAGTGATCACTGTCAAATATGTAGATACTCACACACACATATATAAAGAGTTAAAATAATCAGAGGAGCTAAAAATGATTCCAGAAAAAGGTTTTCCTACTGTGTCATCAAGGAGATGAGACACTACACTTGGTCCTCAGGGCTCTAGAAAACTCTGAGAAGGCTTTGTTTTATCTCCACAGGTGGCTCCCATCCTCAGGGACTGGATGGCATTTATATCATTCTTGGCTTGGTGGCTATAATTTGTAATTTTCTCTACATGAATCAAGAAAACATGTAGATTGAAACCTCTATTTCATGCCAGTGCTGGGACGGATTAATATTCCTATAAGTAGTGCTTTAATAATACTCCCTTCCTTTGAAAACCTTTCATGGGTCATCTACTGTCTACAGGATGAAGCTTTTATTCTTGGGTCACCATCAAACCCTCCCTGATTCAGTTGAAGTCTACCTTTCCAGTCCTCTACACTGTAACTACCTAGACTAAAACTCTCACCTCCACCCAAAGAAATCTACCGCTATGGTTTGGATGTGGTTTGAGGGTGTACTCAAAGTTTCACAGGCTGGAAGCTGGGTCCTCAAGGTGGTGATTTTGAGGTAGTGTGACCTTTTAAGTGGTGGAACCTTTAAGAGTCGGGTGCAGGGTAATGAGGTCATGAGGGCATCATCCCTGGCAGGTAGTAAAGTTGATTTTGTAAAGTGACTCACTTCTTGCAAGGACAAGTTGTTAAGGAAAGAGCCTGGCCTCTGAATCCCTCTGACTTTCTGTCCCACCCGTGACTGTTCTCTCATGCACAAACTTCTACCACATGCCATTCTCCAGACTGTGAAGCAGCTAAGGAGGCTCTTGCGAAAGGGCAAGAGTCCACCCAATCTTGGACTATGAGCTCCAAAATTGTAAACTAAACAAACCTCTGTTCTTTAAGCATAAACTAGCCTCAAGTATTTTACAGCAACATAAAGTGGACTAACAGGTGACCAATTTTTCCTGAGTGGGCCTTGTATACAGCTCTTTATTCAGGTTTTTGGTAAGGCCAGCAGGCTATTCTCTATCATCTGAAATGCTCTTTTATCATTTTCCCCTACCAAAGCCTTATCTAAATGCTAAATGCATAGCTGCTTCCTCCTTCATAAAGGTGTCATAGAAACTATAGGTATGATCTCTCATAATATTTCTATACACTGCAGATTTATTATCTCTACTACTCTTACGCCATTTCTCTCAACACTACTTTGAACTCCCAACTCTGAATATGCTCTTAATTAGATTATAAGCTCCTGGAGGGTAAATACAACATTTGATTCAGACATGTATGATATCATATATGTATTATATATAAAAATATATTTACATATATAGTGCCTAGGATAGTGCTGAACACAAAGCATCATTCAATAACTAATGATGGTGAGCTATGTCTTTAGCTCCCTCTGCAAGACTTTCCTGCAGACAAGCTGGTCCTCAAGTCTTTGATCATAAATTGCAAGTATTCCCTCCATTGTGGAGCCAGTTGGAAAGAAGGAAAGAAGAGCTAAGACTTAGTTTTCCTGATTGTGTTTTATGATTCTCTGCCTTAGAAGAGTTCTGCTTTAAAGACATATCAGAAGCATATAATTGTCACATTTTTATAACTAAAGACAAATATAAATATTATAAATCACTCTTCTATTATAAATAGCCACAAGGGACACAATATTAAAAAGAGAGAATATAAACTTTTGCTTTAAATTTCAAAGATATACTCAAACTATAATTTTAAAGTTAAAATACAAGTTAGTCAGGACAGTTTAAAAGACTTTACATATTAAAAACTATAAAATATACAGCTTTTTCATGTTTTACTTCATACAAGGTACTTCAAGCTAACATCTACACGTTATTTTAAAACCTATCATTTAAAAATGTGTTTAAGTCTTAGAAAAGCACAAAAAAGTACTAAATATTTATGAGTTTTTTACCCTGTAGAAGTATTTTCAAATACTTTCTTCTACGTGGTGCAAAAGTGAACTCCAATTTACTTTATATTACATTGTTATAAATTTTAAAATGATAGAAACAGGGACTAATTTTTACTAACCATGTTCATTGCCAAAAACTTTCTTAGTATTTGAATGACAGTAAAAGCTGAAAGCTACTAACCTGAGTCATCCTGTGATTCAGGAAAATCACTTCTTGCCTTTGTACATCATAGCAGTTTCTGCCCTCAGATGGTAACAGTTGTTTCTTATGACTTTCTCAGTGTAATGTAAATGAAAAGTTGTAGGAGTGAAATCAAACAGTGCTGTCCTTCCCATGATGAACCACTTTTTATGAGTTTCTGAAGAGAATACAGAGCCTGCAACAAAAAAATGCTAAATGTCATTTTACATAATAAAATTACTGAGCTAGCTTATAGTTCAAGTTGACCTTTGGACCTATGAATAAATTACCCAGAGAAAAAGGACTACAAAGAAAAGTTAATACGTGGAATGTGCCAGAATTACATAAGCAAGTTATAAATCAATTCTTAAGCTTTCTGTAAAACACATAGTACTTTCTCCCAAGATGAAATTGAATGATTTCATCTTGTTTCTGGAAAAATTACAAACATGGAGAGTCAACTGAATCCACTGGCTTAATTAAACATATACCAATGAAGACAGTATTACTAAATTGTACTGTATCATTCTGGTGCAACAGAACTGGTCAATATTTGTTCATATTATCAGCTATTTCTATATCACTTTGAGAGGTACTCCTAGTTATTTTTCGTTGCTCGTTTAATCTTTTTTTTTCATAAGTTGATCATGAAACTCATTGAAAGGCTCTTAGCTACTTAAAAATAATTGTACTTTCCATACCAAAAAGCACTTTGTAATGTAGGGGTCTTGGGGGTATAGAATGAGATTATTAGAGAAGCCTGGTGTGGTAGGAAAAGCCCATTCTAGAGTAAATGCCTTGGGTCCTAATTGTTTGCCTGAAAATGAGACGACTGGACCTTGGCCCATATCACAGCTCACAATCACTTTTCCTAATGTCCATGTCTTTTGGGTATATACTACACTGCCACAGACATACTGCTTGGTGTATACAGTGATTCTCAGGCTAGCAGGATGTGCTGCCTGTGGTTTCTCCCAACATCCCACTGACACCACAGTCTTGGTTCCTAGGTAAGAATCACTGGGTGTGCTTTGGCAAGCTTTAGCTCTTTATGTCTTTTGAATTTGTGTATGTACTTTAACCTCAGGTATCTCTAGATCACATTTATATAATCTGTGCTGTTGGGAGCCAAAGAGGTTGACCCATTAGGTAGTATATTTAAGAAGGACATCAATGGGGCTAGTAGTCAAAGAATCTCATCTTTCCTCATACAGTCTTAGGATAAAGAAGATGCTGTTTGTTTACTGATCCCCCAAAGCTAAAGGCTGTGCACTGGGATTCTGGGCCCTGACTTGGCTATCCATTCACTGTCCCAGCTGACTTGGCCATCCATGTGCCTTTCTTTCAGGCATTAGTTCCCAAAGAAATTAGGCCTGTCAGCCTCTGAAGGAAAAGTCTTGAACACTTTGGCCAGGAAGAATATGGAAAGAATTTTAAAAGGTGCGGAAGGCCTTTATGAGATACCTGGGTGGGATCAGAGGCAGGAGGTGTATCTATGTGGCCCACTGATACCCCTAAACACTTACATACATTGCTAACTTCCCTTAATTTTTCTAAATTATGATCCAAATACACCCCTGTCTAAAATGTACAAATCCTATAATCTTCTCAAAAAAGTCTCTGGGTAAAGACAAAACAAGAAAGTATCTTTAAAAAGTTGAACTCTGATATGTCCTTTTACTCTGACAGCCATGTATCTGCATATTTAGCACTAAAATAAATGCATTTTCCCTCATTTCCTTGAATAAATGGGAAGCTATCTTCTAGGGCAAAGGTTCCAAATTGAACCTTCTGAAATTTGGGGTTAAGCCATTATGTGAGTTTTCTTAGGAAGAGGGTCAGCATTTTAAACCATGACTAAGGCCAAAGTTAGTTTAAGGGGGAAAAAGGGATTTTCTGTACTAGAATAAAATGCACAATCACCTGATCAACAAGTACTAATGGTATATTTGTACTTTCTGGTACATGTAAGCCACTAAGGATAAAGATAAAACAGTTCCTTCTCACCCCCTTCACCATTCAGGAGCCTAGGATTTAATATGGGAAACATACAATGAAATAGAAAATTAAAATATATAGACTTTTACTCTATAGTATCTGAAGGAAACAGTAAAATGAACATGCAGCTCAGGAAATCAGATTGGATTAGAATCACGTAAAAGTCATTATTATCCTAGGACTTGGCAGTTATACCCATGGGAGCAAATCAAATCAAATGAGGTTGTGCAGGGTAAGAAGAGAAATGAGGGAAGAACATCAAAGGTCACCTTCCATAAATGTTAGTAATAAAGGAGCAGCTAGCCACCTGCTATTAGACCACTACCATAATTAAATTTTTTAAAATTGACAGCACGCACTAGGCAAGAGTTGCACTGGTACCTATGAAAAAAGCCAAGATATGGAGGTGGCAGGATCCCCACCATCTATAATCTACAGGCTCAAAGGAAATTAGCACAGAATAGCAGCTGAACAATAGGGGAAAGCAAGCATGTGATTGATAGAAGAGTGCAGATAGCAAGCAGTATTTACTTCTGTTGTTTGGGGTGATGATTTGACTTCATGACTCCTTCTAAATAATGAAGTCAGTGAAACAGCCTTATTAATAATCTCTTTTTTTCCCCCATTAACTTTATTGGTACATTTTAGGTATAAAATACAGTTGCATTCATCATTGGGATCTTGTACC